ATGGAATTGAAGCACGAAGTCTCCAGGCATGGTTTTGCTTGACAACTTGAGCTGGGGTGACCACGGGGATGTATTACTGATTCATCGCGAAAGAGTAGGCCTACACCCTGCGTCCGGTAAGCTTACAAAGCTGGCAGCGATAGCCCCAAGAGCTGTGAGAAGAGGAGCGTTTTTGGAGATGAGCGTTTTTGGGCGCAACAGAACCCAGACGGCTGCTGACAATCCTCATCCCAGGCCCAAAATCCCGCAAGCCCCAATTAGGCTCTAAACTGACTATCCCTACTGGTAACAAGTCTGAGGGTGCAAACCCCAAAACAAAACTCCAGGTCCTCAGATTTCCAGCTCAGGATTTCTCACAACGAAAACCATTTTTGACAGTCCCACGCAGACAGCTGTTTACAAATGTCCGTCTTGAATGTGTTGTTGATCTTACATGATCCGTTTTCGTAGCTGGAGCGCTGCATTGAGCCCGATGCTTCAAACCGAGAAATCTAATCTAGCGTTGGGTCATGCATTGCATGAGGCTTCCAAAAGACACGTTACTCAAAGTCACTAGAGCTACCCCAGCACCGTAGTTATGTTGTCTTGGCATGTCGCTTGGCTTTGTAGCCCAAACGAGGGAGATTTCGGACTTGAGGATAACCAAAAAGTTGGTGTTTTCTCGGATGTAAACCTAGGCCCCAAGACTCTCAAGGACTGAACCCCGGAACCCCACACTTCTTGTTCTCTTTTCTCTGCCTGAGGAAGATGGCAATGGTGACGCTTCTGCCGTTGAACTCCTTTGCGGTAACCGTCAACTGGACCCTGCCTAACATGGCCGTGTCCGTCGGCCCGTTGCTCCTTTCCAAGAGATTGTGCTGACAATCATCATTGATAGACCCCGGGTGCTGCAACTACAGTGGATGCTATTTCTGCAAACGTGCAAGGCATGACAACTGATTTCTGTTGTGGTTATTTTGTTCTGTTGCATTGCAGTTTTTGCGAATATTTCGTCTGCTTACTCGTACTACGGCGACGACCACTACTATTATTGGTACTAGTTACTGGTACTAGTACTAATGCTAGCACTAGTACTAGTACTGGCATTACTCGTATTATTATTCCTCCTCCTCCTCCTCCTCCTCCTCCTGCTCCTACTACTACTACTACTACTACTACTACTACTGCTACTACCACTACTACAAACAAAGGCTGCCATCATTGCTTCCTCCGGCCGTGTTGCTGCTATAGTGCTGAAAACGAGAAGCCTCATGTGCCCCAAGTTACGAGATGGCACCAGGACGCCACCTGCAGATGTTTTCTCCCGGAAATCTCGCAGTGCCTTCCTCTCAGAAAACTGTCAGTGCTTGCTGGAGCTGCCGGTGCGAAGAGTATAGATGCTCTGGGGTGGGTTTGGGGTGCAGTTTCCCAGGCATATGCTTTGCAGTGTAGAGTCCCCCTGTGCAGCTCTTGGCGCTTGTTCAGTCCTAGATGGGCTGCAAAGGTGTCCTGGCCGATAGCCGGATAAGCCTTATCTCTCATCCATGGGCGAGGCGACTTGAGAAGAGCCTCCCGATCGTTGAGAGCTTGCAGAGAACTGTATTCGGCCCCGGTAAATGGGACATGTCTAAGCCTTTTGTGTGTTCGATAAACTTAGCAGCACAATTGGTCATACCGCCCCAAGGTCCACAGTCGGTTACTTATTATACCTTCTGTATAGCATATCCAACACCCTCTATATAATTAATTAGGCCCTTATAATAGTCGGGGCGGAGCTGAGACAGCCAAACTCGAAAGAACGACCCCCCCCCCCCCCGAAATATCTTATGCGACCAGAGTCGAGAAAGAGCTTCTTTTAGCGAGCCAGCGACAAAATCATAGACTTCAAAATGCTGTTTACTCACTAAAAGATACAGCATACTATATATATATATATACGATATACTCCCTATATCTATCTACTATACTATACAGGATCCCTGGTTGCCCAGGCTTTGGCCATAGCAAGAGGCAAGAGCATCACCGGGAACCTTACAGGTTCTGGCCCTGGACTTCGTCCCCGGGCCTTACATCCCCATGCCTAAACCCTAAGCCTTGGTTTAGGGTTTAGGGTTTAGGGTTTAGGGAGGGAAAAAAACCCCTATAAGCCCTAAAGCCCTAACGCCTAAACCGATAAACCCTAAGCAAGTAGAGATCGATTCAGACATGTCGTCGAATCAGAGTTACAGGTTGCTGGAAGGTTCAGGCTCGGGGCTTGCGTTTGGGTTCGGGGCTTACAGATTCGCGACAACTGTTGATTAGGGTTGAGGGCTTAGGGGAGTTGAGGTCTTAGAAATTTTAGATGCGCGTCGGCCTTCAGAATGTTGGGGGTTGGTTTGGCTTTCAGGGATGTCCGGGATGTAGGTCTGATTTTTTTTCTGGGGGGGGACGGGCCCACGACGTAGAGACACTGCTCATGGACACAATCCAGTATTGCCCTTAGTACCCTGAGTACCCCGGAATTATTCATCAGCCGTAGGGTTCATCAGGGTTGAGGGCTGTGTTTCTGTTTTTCATACCTGGTCATACCTTCTGTCCCAAAAAGGCTTGGCAGAAGGCAGCACTTCCGAGATGACGCCCTCGCTGTTTGCAGGAGTATTTCAGGCTTTCTCCGTTTGCTGTTTTGCCACTGTGGCATGTTTCTCATTCTAGTTGGGCATAATGAAACTTTCTCATGGGTCACATAAGACATAAGAACCGAAAACATGCGCCGACACTGTGGAGAGGCCCTCGCTAAGCGTTTGAGCCAGGTGCCATCCTTACTCTTGATTGCCCCATACCTTTCCAGGCTTGTGTTTTCAGATTTCTCGTGACTGGAAATTACATGTAAAACCTCGAGTTGCGCGCTGCATGTTGGCATAGCAGATTGTTGTTGCTGTTGTTGCTGTGCTGCTGCTGCTGCTGCTGCTGCTGCTGCTGCTGCTGCTGCTGCTGCTGCTGTTGGTGCTGGTGCTGGCGCAGGCGGTGGTAGTGGTGGTGGTGGTGGTGGTGGTGGTGGTGGTGGTGGTGGTGGGGTGGTGGCGGTGGCGGTGGCGCTGGCGGTGTTGGTTTTGGTGTTGGTGTTG